TTGGGCTCTTATGAAGCCCAATTATTATATATAGTAAATAATGTAGAAGAAAGACCCAAAACAATATCTTATACAGTCACTCAAGAAAATAAAACAAATAAGAAAAGACCCAGAGAATACTCAAGAAAATACATTATATTTGGGGTTGAAGTTTGTAAACCCATGTTTTTGAATAATTTTCAAGTAACGACTAAAAAAATTGATGTTTCTCTACAAAAAAAACGAAATGGGTACATGATAAAAGACAGAAGAGGACTTTCACAGGGTGGTTGGAATAAAACTCAGCCAGTAGATATTGAGTTCGTTAAGGATATCATAGGCTCATTACCTAAATATCAATCGCATTATAGAAGAGAACAAAGTAATGGTGTTATGTATTTGAAATTAGGAATGACGATACAAAAAATATATGATTTATACTTGGAAAAATTTGGGAATGTATACGGCAGTTCGAAGAGTCCATTGTCATTGGCTACAGAAAAACGCATATTTTATAAATATTTTAATTTACGCTGCAAGACACTAAAAAAAGACACTTGCAAGGTGTGATACTTTCACAAATAAAAAAAAAAATTGTTTGTTAGATGAAGAGAAAGAAAAGTTAAAACATGAAAAAGAAATTCATCTAAAAAAAGCAGAAGATTTGAGAAAATATATGAACGAAGATATGGCACAGGCAAAAGCTGACGAAGAATTTGAATGCTTAACATTCAACTTAGAAAAAACACTTCCACTCCCACGTATACCAACCAGCATTATTTTTTATAAAAAGCAATTGTGCTTGTATAACTGTGGCGTCCACGCCGGCTCTAACAATACTGGTCATTGCTATATTTGGATCGAAGGAGAAGCTGGTCGAGGGGCCCAAGAAGTCGCGTCATGTTTGATCAATTTCATAAAGAACAAACTTGACCCAAAAGTAAAACACTTAGTGTTATGGAGTGATTGCTATGGCGGACAAAACCGCAATATAAAAATCGTAATGATGTTGAAGGTCGTGTTAAACTCGCACCATACTCTGAGGACAATAGATTTCAAATACCTTAAATCAGGTCATACTTTCCTGCCCAATGATACTGATTTTTCCAAAATTGAAAGCCAATTAAAATTTCATCAACGAATTTACACTGCTGACGAGTATATGCTAGTCATTAGGAGTTCCAAAAGAAAGAATCTGCTCGAAGTTAAAAAAATGGTTAAAGAGGACTTCCTAAGCTCAAAAAATATTGAATAAAAATAGTAAAAAGAAAAACTTTTAACTAAAAAGCAGAAAACTAATTGGCTACAAACAAAAGTAATTTCATTAAAGAAAGAAGAGAAATATATTATTTTTATGAAGAGTGAAATAAATAATGACCAGTATTATGAACTTAATATACAGAAGAAAGTGAAAGGAAAATCTTTAGATTTTTCTGAAAACGACTTTATCTTGTTGTGGCCTATAGGCAAAAAAATCGCTCAACCTAAACTGGATGATCAGAAGTCAATGTTCCACTTAATTCCGAAAGACTGTTTAGACTTTTACAAGTCTCTTCAGGGGGATAAAAATATAGAGGATGATCTCGAAGGATTCAGCGGTCAGCTTGATTTTCAGATTGAAAATGAAAGTCAGGCAGAATGAGCATTATAATGACTCTGCAGAGTTTTGTTTTGATTACAGTTTAATTATGTTATCAACAGTATTGATCTCATTTTTTATCTATTGTTTTTTTTTAAATTGATAGGTATGTTATAAGAATAATACATTTTTAGTTATTTATTAGTTAATTAATTTATTTTTAAAGATTTCGTTAGCAGTTGATGGAGTGGAGCTTTACTGCGAAACTATCATTTTATGCTGGTCTTATTGAGAATACTATATATCAAAAAGGATCCAAGCCCCTATTTTCTTGAATATTATTGAAAATATGAAATCAAACTTAGTGAATTTGATTTATAGTTAAAATATAACAAGATATCCTGCTAATTTTAATAAAACCAACAAATTTATGGTACCGTATCATAGAAGAATTACGACTTAAACGTTAAAGTTAAATATCTCAAAACTAGCTTCATGTGGATTGGATCCCTATCGTGTAACTACGTCCATTTATTCTGTATGTACGTTATCTACTGGAAGTATTTTAAACACTTGAATAAAATATATGGAATGGTAAATTTTTTAACAGATATTGAAGGTATTTTCTTATATTATCTTAAAACTGTATGCCATTAGGAAATCCTCTCGAGATAATAGTACGGTTAGGTATTTTCAAGTGTAGGGAAGTCCATGTTTAATGCAATATAGATATCGTAAATCTTCTCTGAACGTGGACTTATCTGAACAAAAAATATATATGCTCGCCGCTAGGTTATAGTATCGGAAGTAAGTACAGAGATATATACATATATTGATATGCTCAGGAGAAATCCAGTTGGCAGAGACAGAGACTACAAAGCAGAATGACAGGAATAGTACTTCTACACATTGATACATAATTTTTTTGCTTTTTAAATATATTTATTTCCTTTAACAACAACTATTATTAAAGGTTTAGCGCTATGCAATAGTGTTATACCATCTACTTATTTATGTACCAAAAGCTTAATTGAGGCTTGTGTACCACTCTAAAGAGTATTTTACATGTAATTCAGGTCATATTATACTACATGTAATTCCTGCAATTACCTAAAAAGTCGTTCAACTGTCTTTGGTTGCACAAACTTTTGCGTTTATATGATTGGTAAGATTAACTCTCACTCATTCATAACGATTCTTAATTTTGTGTTTGTTAAATGTTTAACAGCGGTCTTCCGTAGCGCTCCGCAGATCACCACATTTAATAAATTCAAACATGGAATTCTTTATCCTGAGACTAACAGGCTCGTGAGCAAATGCGGTTTTGCAAATTTAAAATAAGTAGGGTATTCCCCTGTTGAGGAATAAGTTAAGGGAAAGTACCCAGCTATCAATTTATTTGTGTGAGGAAGATTTAATATAAACACTACATATTGTATGTTTATTTACATACTATATGTAGTGTTTTGTACATTTATTTCTCAAAAAAGGAAATTTATATATCGCAGTGCTTCTACTATGAAAGCTAGATTGACTGATGCTTTTTTTTTATAATCCTCGTATATTTGGATGATGCTGTAGGAAGAGACATTGGTTGGGTTCATTTTTAAGTTCTACTTAATTGAAATACTTATTGGTGTACTACTTTTGTTTAACCATTTATAAAACTGTTTTACTTGAGACTGTTCTCTAATTACTACTTAGTAGAGATTGCCTGGTGATTTACTTTCTTTATATAAACGACGAACGTAATTTCTGTATGTTATACAAAAGTGCGAAGAATATAACCTTCCTCTACACTTGACGTTTGTGGCCTATAAAAAGGCTTTTAATTCGATCGAAATTCTTCTTCAGTGTATTCAATGCTTAATTTAATGAATTAAAAAAAGTTCCGTTTACACTATTATTTCGTTTTTATTTTAAAAAAAGAATTGAGTTTCGTATTAGTATGTCAAAGAATGTGGTTAATAGATAGTGATACTATAGTTCTTTTTTTTAATTGTTAAAAATAAATAAATCCATAAAATTGTGTGGACCCATTTTTTTTAACATATTTTAAATCTTATTTCGTACGATTTCGAAATCAAACCTTTCGAAAATTTCGAAAACAAAGAACCTTAATACTTCAATACCTTCTTGCGTATAGACCAAATTTGATAAAACAATAGACAATTATTAAAAAAGTACCTTTAAAGAAGGTTAAGGTAATCTACATGTTGTCTCTGATAACAAAAGCCGATCAAACGTTATCACGTTGAAGGCCTCCACCTCTGCAGTATTGAGGGCAACTGAGGTACAAAACCGCGGAGAGGGAGACAGCAAATCCTTGAAACGGATAGGGAACAGTATGAGTCATTCGGGATGAGATAGTTACCGCATTACAGGACTCTATGTTGATGAGTCAGCGGTTCGTGGAAAAAATATATTTTTGTTGGCGTGGGATTGGGACAGAGATAACTATAATCATTTTTGTATTTAATATACATACATACGAGTATATGGAGACACAAATTTTGTCAAATAATAATCTAATGTTTGCCAACATGAAACATGTTACGGAGTGCTTAAAGCGGTCACCTCGCTGCTTCCTATTACGCTAAGTGTTGTGGGTTCGATCTCCACATGAGACATCACTTTGTGTGATCCACAGATTGTTGTTCTGAGTCTGGGTGTTCTTTGTGTTCATTTCATGTATGTTTGTAAAGTCCCCCGCGATACAGGATTCCTAGTGCAAGAGTTATCTTTTAAAAAGAATAGAAATAATGTTTATTAAACGATTGATGGGTGTAAGAAATATGTTTACAAATTACAATACTAATAATAACTTTACACATCTCACACACGACGGTCTAAACGTCAATGCTCGCAACAAAAATTCGTTCAAAATTCAGTTCCGGGCCTCAATTCTGCTATTTTACGTTCACGCCAAGCCAGTATCATACCAATGACACGGTATTGAGATGCCATCGAGTAGCCATTGGCATCGGTATAAATATCGGTAGTTGAAAATATATTACTTTTTTTAAGAAATGATTTATTTGTGTTTATTATAATAAATTATTAAAAGAAATAAATAAATTAAAATAACTTATTAAAAAAAAAAAATGAATTAAAATAAATTATTAAAGAATAAAATACAAAAATTATAAAAAAAAAGAACTAAATAAATTATTGCTATCTACTCTCGATCTCAAAAATATCACAAAAGGTATTCTCGTAGTATTATACTAAAACTAGCAGAATACCGATTCAATTTTCGGACACAAAAGTAGGTAGTATATCCAGGGTGTCAGTTACCTTCATACCAAATTTTATCAAAATTGAGCCATCCGTTTGAGTATGATAAAGTAAAAATACATAAACACTCACACACACAAACTTTCGACTTTAAAACATTAGTGTGATCTCTTACGCAATCGTGTTAATTCCTTTATTTACATACCTCGCAGTAGCCTGTCCCCCAGGCCAATAGAAGGCCCAGAAGGGATCCTTGAAAGGCACCTCATCTTCTCCGGCTCTCCATAACGGGCAGTCAGGAGTTATCAGCCTTAACGCTAGCTCCGGAGTCAAATGTCTTCGTGATATCACCGTATGCTTCAAAATAAGGGAGCTGATTTCTTTCAGCATTGTGCCTGAAAGGAGAGTGGAATTTAAATATCTTTTATATGTTGGTTTTATTTTATGGACCAGTATAACTTGAACTCTTATGGTATAAACTACTGTACCATCATCATCATCGCCTTTATAGTCCACTGCTGGACAAAGGCCTGTCCTTTGTAAGAAGGGTTTGGTATAGGGGTTGGTATAGGGGTTTGTTGTTGGTATAGGTCGACGTGGGGGCTGGCCGCTTTCGCGATGCGATTACGCATGTATGCGATGCGGCCATGCCCCGCGTTCGAGGTCGTCGGCCTCCAAGGAAGGAGGTCTACTGGTGGTCCCAGGAGCTGGCGGACCTCCGTGCGGCCTGTACACGTGCCCGGAGGTCCTACACGCGCAGTCGGCGGCGTCACCGTGGAGACGGTGAGGAGGACCGGCTTCATGAGGAGTACCGACGGGCGCGGAAAACTCTGAAGCTGGCCATTAGCCGCGCCAAAGAAGAAAAAAGACAGGAGATGCTGGAGGGTCTTAATCGTGACCCCTGGGGTCGCCCTTACCGCGCGGTGCGACAAAAGCTCCGCGCGTCGGGCCCCCCCCTTACGGAGACTCTCCAGCCCAGCTTCCTGCGAGAAGTGGTTGAGGGCCTTTTCCCACAACGGGCGGAACACACTCCCCCGTCGATGGCCTCCTTGGCGGTAGGGGCGAATCGGAGGTAGGGGCGGCTGTTCTACGGATCCGTTCCAAGAACACCGCCCCTGGGCCAGACGGGGTACCGGCCCGAGTGCTGGCCCTGGCCCTCAACCACATGGCAGACCGCCTCGGGGAGGTGTTCGACGCTAGCTTGGCGTCGGGACGCTTCCCTGAGTGCTGGAAGAGCGGGAAGCTGGTCCTATTGAGGAAGCCGGGACGGCCTGCCGATTCGGTCGCGGCCTATAGGCCCATCGTGCTGCTGGACGAGGCGGGCAAATTGTTTGAGAGGGTTCTTTCTGCCCGCATCGTCCGGCACCTCTGCGAGGTGGGCCCCGATCTATCGGACGCCCAATTTGGTTTTCGGGCGGGGCGTTCGACAGTCGACGCTGTGTTGCGCCTGAGGGCCGTGACCGAAGAGGCCGTGAGCTGTGGCGGCGTGCTGTTGGCGGTGTCACTGGACATCGCCAACGCATTCAATAGTCTGCCATTCAGCTGCATCAGGGAAGCACTCCACTATCATGGGGTGCCAAAGTACCTGAGGCGGCTAGTGGCAGACTACTTAGAGGAGCGTACCGTCGTGTACGAGGACCGAGAAGGTAATTTGAGGAGTCGGCCCATGTCGTGCGGTGTTCCACAGGGGTCTGTTCTTGGACCCCTCTTGTGGAACATAGGGTACGACTGGGCCCTTCGCGCCGATTTCCCCCCCGGGCTGGGTGTAATCTGTTACGCAGACGACACCCTCGTGACAGCCCGGGGGGCAAACTTAAAAGAGGCGGCGCGCCTGGACACAGGGGGAGTCTCCCTGGTGGTCGGGCGCATTGAGGCGCTGGGCTTACGGGTGGCCCTAGATAAGACGGAGGCCCTATTATTCCATGGGCCCCGTCGTGGTCCACCCCCTGGCGCCTCAATCGTGGTCAACTCGGTCCTCGTACCGGTTCGGGCCCAGATGAAATATCTGGGCCTGATCCTCGACGGGAGGTGGCTCTTCGACGAGCACTTCCGACAGCTTGCTCCAAAGCTGGTCGGCGCTGCGTCTGCCCTAGGGCGACTTTTGCCCAATATGGGTGGACCCAGCGTCGCGACAAGACGGCTGTACACGGGGGTTGTCCGGTCAATGGCACTGTACGGTGCACCGGTGTGGGCGGCGGCTCTGACCGCCCAGAATAGGGTACGCCTCTGGCGCCCTCAGAGGGTAATGGCGGTCAGAGCCATACGCGGTTACCGCACCGTTTCGACGGAGGTGGCATGCGCATTGGCCGGAACTCCCCCGTGGGATTTGGAGGCGGAAGTGCTCGCCGAAGTTTATCGGCGAGTGGCTGACTTCCGGGCGGAGAGCGGATTTCGCCCTCCGCCCGAGGATGTGCGCGAGTGGCGCGAAGCCGCTCGCCGAGCCACGATGGCTCGTTGGTCATCGCCGAGTGGGCAGGGCGGCAGCACGGGACCCTTTCCTTCCGACTGACGCAGGTGCTTTCCGGGCACGGTTGCTTCGGAAAGTACCTGCACACGGTCGCTAGGAGGGAACTGAGTCCCGCCTGCCACCACTGCGACTGCAGTGAGGACTCGGCCCAGCACACGCTGGCGGTCTGCCCCGCATGGGCGGCGCAGCGCCGGGCCCTCGCTGCAGTCATCGGAGTGGATCTCTCGCTACCGGCCGTAGTACGCTCCATGGCCGGTAGCGACAGTTGTTTTACCGCGGTCGCAACCTTCTGCGACGTAGTAATCTCGCGGAAGGAGGCGGCGGAGAGGGCCCGGGAGGACGACCTCCACTCGGACCCGATCCGCCGCCGGCGAACCGGGCGGCGGAGGCCCGCCTACCACAGCCTCATGCCGCCCTGAGTGTGGCCGCGGGTGGACGGGGTGGGTTTCCCCTCCACCCGCATTAGTTGGCCAGCCGCGAGGGGGCGGCGTCCGCGTGTGCCGGACGTCGCCTAAAGAGAGGAACATCTACATTGAGACGGAGCCCGCACCAGGAGCGGGCTGGCGCTAGGAGGGGTCCGGATGTCTTAACAACAGCTGTTCCCGGATCCCTCCTGTTACAGGCGCAGAGTGGCACACCGTGTGGTTTTAGTCGGTCCGAGTCCGACACACCACCCCGCCGCAAACCCCGGAGGGGTGACGGTCCGAGGGGATTTCCACACGTTAAAAAAAAAAAAAGGGGTTTTTCAAGTTTCCTTTATTTTTGCAGTGCTTTTGTCCCGCGTAATTTGCTCTCTTAGTCAGCTCTTACGACACCCACGGGGTGAATAGGGGTGGTGACACTCCGTATTCTGAATCCGTCACCACGCGGAATTTAAAATAAGTAACTTATAAAAAAAACACTTTAGACTTCTGTACCTTGACAGGTCTTGACAGGTTTATTACGATCAGGCGAGTAGTTAAGGTGTAAAATGCAACAAACAGACAGGAAATTCCTTTGTCATCAACAGCCATTACTAGTCCACTGCTTTACATGGGCCGCTCCTTAGAAAGGAGGGTTTGGCCTACTATACCACGCTGGCCAGACGGGTTGGTATAGGGTTTGTTTAAAGTTTTAAAAATTTTGTAGTGTTAAAAAGTTTGAGACGGAGCCCGCACCAGGAGCGGGCAGGCGCTAGGAGGGGTCCGAATGTCTTAACAACAGCTGTTCTCGGATCCCTCCTATTACAGGCGCAGAGTGGCACACCGTGTGGTTTTAGTCGGTCCGAGTCCGACACACCACCCCGCCGCAAACCCCAGTGGGGTGACGGTCCGAGGGGATTTCCACACGTTAATAAAAAAAAGGGTTTGTTTAAAGTTTTCCTTCTCTTTGCAATGCTGTTTTCCTGCGTAGTTTGTTCCTTTAGTCGCCGCTTACGACACCCGGACACGGGAAGAATAGGGGTGATGAGATTCCGTATTCTTAATCCGTCACCACACGCAAAATTCCTTTGTATTGTTATATAACTAGTAGCAAATACGGATGTACTAACTCTAGTATATATTAATAGTAAGTGGAAAACGCTGGAACGCCAGTGTCTAGTCCTTCTTTAAATTTATTGCTGTGTCTATTAGCCTTTATTATACAGGAAATTAATTTATGAATGGAAAATCTAACGGTGGACGAGGACAAATGGAAAAATTATGAGATGTACTGAAAAAGTTATAATTGTACGTTTTAATATCTTAGTGATTAATTTTAAAGGTCATTTTCTTATAACATAAGCACGGTTAACTGATACTAATGAGGTAACAAGTTTTCCTTCTCTTTGTAGAGCTGTTGTCCTGCTAGTTTGCCCCCTCAGTCGGCTCTTACGACACCCACGGGATGAATATAGGTGGTGACACTCCGTACTCTTAATCTGTCGCCGCACGGACTTTACAAACCTGATACCAAATTATCTGGCCAGCGTTGTATAGTAGGGCAAAACCTCCTTTCCAACGAGAGGCCTATGTCCAGCAGTGGGCTTTTAAACGTTGTTGATGATGATGATAAATGAGGAAACATACGTTTTCATGGTTTCATTTATTCATTATTTTGAATGAGTCATGAATAATTTAGAGTGCACGGATGGCGTTGTGGGTTGCCTCACCTCTTCCTACTGCGCTTAGTGTTGTGGGACAACACTTTGTATGCTCTACAAATTGTTGTTCTGGGTCTGGGTGTTCTTTGTATCCATTCCTGTATGTAATGTCCCCCGCGATGCTGAATATAACCCAAGTGTGAGAGGAAATATCTACATTACAAACATACACTCGAAAAATATAACCCTTCTTCCGTGGCAGTCGGTAAAACACTAAATACAGACAAATATAAATATTTTAACCTTCTCTTTAGTTTTCACATCTCACGTATATTACATTTGAATTTAAATATGTCAGTTTTATCTTATTTGAGTTATAAACGATGTAGTGGGAAAATATCAAGAGGTTTGCTAACTGTGTCGTCCGTCATTATACGTCATACGATTAATTAAAATGGCCGCCGTTTGAATGGACGTGTAAATTACATATTAATTAATGCACATATTAATTAATTCATTATAGTTAGCTGATACTTAGTACACAGTATAACTTTATGACTCGGCTCCGCTTTTGTATACATTTTAAGTTTTTTTTTTCTTTTTCTTTTATGTTAGAGGGGGCAGACGAGCAGACGGGTCACCTGATGGAAAGTGACCATTGCCGCCCATCAACGTCTGCAACTCAGGAGTCACAAACGGAGTTCGCTCTTTTCTTGACGGTTTGAAGGTCGTATAAGTCCGGAAATACCGCAGACGATAACCCGTTCCACAGATTGCTTGAGCGGGGCAAAAAGTGTCTCGAAAAGCGCACAGTAGTGGAGCAACTATCCAGGTAATGAGGTTGAAAACTTTGCCGTGTGG